GTGGTCCTCAAGGCCTGCCATGGATATATTTGTATATTAATTAATTTTATTTATAGATTATGCATAACAATTATACATGTTTCAAGAAACATCATACTATTTTTCTATAACATATCATTTGATGCTTAAATTAGGGTATAGCAAATATTAAAAGGTATTTTATAAAGTGTGTCATTTAATGGAAAGGAGCTAGATAACTGGGAGTCCTAAATACTTTTGTTTTAGTAGTGTTCTGGCAGTACTTTCCTTGCTGACAGTAATAAGCAACACTATAGTGTCATGGTTTCAGTTATTATTTCTATGTTTATCTAGGGATTGAACCTAAGGTTCGATCATGCTATATTACGGAGCCATATCCCCAACCCTCAGCTACTATTTTTAGATGTTTAATTGTAACCTGTATTTGTTTGTCCCTAGTATCTTACAGAAGTTTCCAAGTAAGGAAATACATCAAACTTATCTTGGCTATTGATTAAAATACAGATGCTCAGGACATGCTCTATGCTTATAAGGAAATTGAGTCAATTGTGTTTACAAATATTTTAATCACCACCCTTAGTGGTTTTATACTTTTATTTTGCATAACATGGAAAAATTATTTAACCTTAAGTTGCATTATTCTTGCTATGCAACCATACAAAATGCTTGTTTATAGAACAACAGTCAGAGATGACAGAACCTTATAATACCTGTGGTTTAGTTGCTGCAAGGAAAATGCTAGCTTTCTCTTTTGGGGAGACCTAAACTCATCTTCAGATTTTGTCTTCATTAACTGTCTCAAATTCTAGAAAAAAAGATAACTCAGTTACTTCAGAGAATAGCGTCTTGCAACAGGGAAGTTCGTCTTGCCCTCACTTAACTACATTTAGGATTTTATCAGTGGTGACACTCAAATACCTAGAACAGCTTAACTGAGAAGTTGGACACAATAACTAAGAAAACAAATCCAAAGATTTAGTTTCTAAGCCCATTCATTTTCTCCTAACCTGTCACAATAGTTAACTTGTTTTATTTTATAGAAACCCACAATTATGACACCTTGGATCTTTTAGAGAGACTTAAAGAAGTCTCTCTTTTAAAGAAATGTTGGATATTTAAAAGCCTGAACCTTTAAAATGTTGAGATTTTTAAAAATATGGTAGGACTTTTAAAGTGATAATATATTTTATATTATAATATTAAATTTACCATGACATCTTGGGGCACAGAACTACATGAATTTGTTAAATACAAGTGATTTTGTCAGTGATTATTATTTTTGTTTTATATTACGACAGTAATGATGAGTTCAAGCTGTGTGAAATGCCACAAACAAACACATATGAGTGAGTCATCACTGGAACACCATAGAACCAAGTAAGAGTTGTAGAAAGTAGGATCTGGCTTTCATTGGGCATCAACTAATCATTTTTATCTAACTATAACTACATACATTCTCAGGCAGTTTGATATCACTAGAAGTCAGAAATTGTGATTTCTTTTATGACCAGATAAAAATGTCTATATTTTTATATACCTGTAGCCAAGTGATGTTCCTTTTAAAGCATCATGCCATCTTAATGATCACAACTGATGCCTAGACTAGAATTTTAGCTATCACTTTGTAATTTTTATACTAGGAAATAAGATATTGAATGTTATTATTATAAGAACCTGTTTGTTAGAATCCTATTTTGAAAATATTAAAAGCCCTTTCTGAAAATTGATCCTTCCCTTGGTAGCATCCTTCAAGAAACTGGCAAGGATCAGCAAACCTGGGCTTTCAGAATACTTCTGTTCCCAAAAGCAACCCATCATATGAAGTCATTTTATTTTTCAAGTCTTGTGCTTCTGCCCAAACCAAGCAACTGATCCCCCTATCAAATCTTAATTTTTTATTGTTGTTGTTTGCTTAGTTGGTTGTGGTGGTGATTTGAATAAGAATGACCTCTATAGTCTCATAGATTTGAATGCTTGATCACCAGGGAGTGGCACTATTTGAAAGGATTATAAGGTGTGGCCTTATTGGAGGAAGTGATGGATTTTGAGGTTTCAAAAGCCCATCCCAAACCCATAATCTCTCTCTTGGCCTTCTGATCAGGATGTACCTCTCAGCTACTTCTCCACACCATTTCTCCCTGTGTGCTGCTATGCTTCCTGTCATGATGACAATGAATTAAATCTCTGAAACTTTAAGCAAGACCCCAATTAAATACTTTCTTTGATGGGCTTTGAGGTTTCAAAAGCCCATGCCAAGCCCAGAGTCTTTCTCATAGGCCAGCATAAGAGGATATAGCTCTCAGTTACTGCTCCAGCACCATTTCTGCCCCTGTACTACCATGCTGATAAAGGACTGAACCTCTGAAACTGCAAGCAAGTCCCTAATTAACTGTTTTCTTTGATGAAAGCTGCCTTGGTCACGTTGTCTCTTCACAGCCATAGAACACTAAGAGTTATTTTTCATTTGATTGGTTGGTTTTGTTTTTCGAAACATATTTTTATGAAGTTCAGCCTGTCCCCAAGTATGTTATGTAGCTTAGGCTTCCCTGAACTACTTATTGTCCTGACTTAACTCCCATGTGCCATCATTATAGCTATGTGACTCCATTTCTGGCAATAAAAGACCCCATGATCTATTACAGTCCCAACATTGTTTAAAAGTCCAGTCTTTTCCTGAGTCTCAGAGTAATCTCTAACTGTAGCCCCTTATAAAACCAAATTGCAAATTATATACTTTTCTGGATAGAAATGGAATTATATACCTATAATGAACATCAATTCTTAAAATGATATTGTGTGCTAATATGAGCCATACCAGATCCTGACCCTGGCCTACCATGACACTAATGTGATCACAGACCTGACTAATGGGAAACATGGAGACTACAGTGTAAACCTATTTCTGGTATTTAATTATACCCTTCCCCAACAGAGCACTAATAGGTGCTGGTTCGTCTCAAAGTATCCAAGCTACAGGGAATTCATCCTCACCCTCTCCTTTTTTCACTTCACATAAATGCATAGAGACTATAATTGGGTGAACTCATGACTTTCTAAGGGCGTCCGTGTTCACACTGTCTTATTACCTCCCTTGAGAGTCGGATTCCTTGTGCTTGTAGAATGGGCATTTGATAGGGGCTTCATTAGGCTTTTACTGTGCTCCCCATGGACTCGATGTTTCCTATAAATCCCATAGGCACGACTAAACACAATGTTTAAATGGAGAACAGTATCCCCGTTGATCCTTGACTTTACAACAGCTTTGCCGGCAGTGGCTGAATCAAACCTAACCTCCAAACTCACACCCAGAAAAGGAAACTAACTCTTTGATGGGGGATTCTGAAACAAGTGTAGTTTTCATCTACAGACTCTAAACTACTGCAGTAACTATAAAATCTACACAGAGCCACTCACTCACTCTATCTACTGTAACTTCCCCTATACTAAGCCATGTTCTTTGTGATGCTATCCTGTGACATAGCCAGAGTCACAGGATGTTGGTTTCCCAATAGACTGCTATAAGCCTCAGGAATAAGCCAAAGAAATGACTTTTCAGCATCAGGCAGCTGTTTAGCAAACCTAGTACTCTAAATCTAAGAACTTGGCTGGCTTCACACAAAGAACATTATTTGAGAAAGGGTATCTGAGTATAATAACTAATTCCATGCCCTTCTTACTGAAGGCAACTGTACTAGAAGAAACAAATGTTGTGTACTCAGTTAGACCTGCCTGAATGCAGGTCTTAAGCCAGTTAGCACTATATAAATCGTTATTTAGCTGACGAGTGTACACAGAAGCATATATTCCAAACAACATCTTAGCATCATATGTTCTAATACTTGTGTACATCCTCTCTTTTAAAATGAGGCAGAGAAAATAGAGATCATAGTTTCTAATTTGTATATTTCTAGTTTCACCGTGTTCAGTGTTCTGCAAATACCCCCTGTAGGGTAAAATGGCCAGCCAAAGAGAACTATGTTGGCCCTGAAACCAGAGAGCCAAAAAGAAGCATACTTCGATCCTGAAACCAGAACCAAAGAAACACACTCTGTCCCTGATGAATTAAGCACAAAAACCAACCAGTCCTTGGGCACAAAATCCAGCCAATCTTTGAGCTTGTCCAAACTCAGGGATTGAAATCTGGCGAATTCCCACCCTGAAAATCTTCACCCTGGAAAAAAAGCCATCCCCTAAGAAGCCCTATATAAGCCCCGAGCCTGCTCAGTTTGCTACTGACTTTTTCCACCACAGCAGAGGTAGCTGCCCTCCTGTATTTTTCCCTCCTAATAAATCTCTTGAATGAGGTTTGGGTGAAGACCTTTCCGGGGACCAGACAGGGAGCCTGGGTGGAGTGGAGCAGAGTGAAGCAAGACACTTTCGCTGAAGAAACCTTCCGCTACTAGAAAGGGAGTTGTCACATCCGGGGACCTGAGCAGAGCTGTACCAACTTAGGGGCTGGGGAAACCCTCCCCTGCAGGGGGAAACCTTTCTCTGAACCAGGACTGTAAGCTGCTGTGCTTTTGAGGACTTTGTGGCTCTCCTTGAATCCTGACTGCCAGGATCTCTTTCCATCCAAGTTGTAATGCTTATACCCCTGATCCTTGAGGTTCAGGTCAATAGTGTGCCACTCTACTCCATGACCTCCCCCACCCACTGCCATCACCTGCTGTCCTGAAGCATTCCCACCCATGAATGAAGTCTTCCCCCACCAAAGTCTGTTTTCCCCAACCCCGCTCCAGATAGCAGCACCACGCTGGTAATCCCAAAGCCTTCTTTGCTCACAGCTCACCAGGATGGCTTCTCTGTCATCTCCCTCAGCCACCTCATCACATCAAGACCACTGTTCACAAAAGTCCCATTAGAACTCCCCCAATCACAGTTTAAGTGCCCCATGCTGACCACAGTTTCTCTTCCAACCCCACACCGCACTCCATCTCACATCCTAAACCCGACATTCTTGGGTGTTTCATGGTCACCTCTAGCTCAAAATGACGGACCGAAAAGAATCAGAACCACTGATAATCGTTTAGACAGTTTTAATAACATGCCTAACTTACCCCCCATTTAGGGGGACATTGGGGCAATTTGAGGCTCAAGGTATGAGCCTCAGTCCTCATCGGGTTCTGGTGTCTCGATGACCACGGATTTGCTGTCAATTTTGAAGAGTTTGCGAAGATGTTTGTTGTTTTCAACAGCCCAGGATACGTGTTCTGGAGTTATGCGCTTTCTGCCGCTAGCTTGGGCCTCCTTGCCAGACAGGTCAAGTATATCAGCTGTCAGGTACTCTAATACACCAGCAAGGAACACTGGTGCAGAAGCACTCACACGCTGAGAGAAGTTTCCTTCTCTAAGAAAGCGCTCAATTCTGCTCACCGGAAAATTCAGCTGAGCTCTTGCGGAGCGGGAGATGTTAGTCTTCTGCCGGTTCGCTTCCATTGCGCCCGTTTGAAGAGTTGCGTTCAGCTCCGGATCTTTTCTGAACTGGGTCTCTCAACACATCGGCTTTTATAGCCGCCAAGTGCTCATCTCACAAAGGAGAGCCCTTGTGATAACAGACTTTATTATGTCATTAGTGCCCACTGGACTCTGGTCCTCCTCCTCCAGTCTAGAAGTGTCCATGTTAGGAAACTGCTCACATTAGTGAGTACATCCCCTTTTGGGAGGAAATTGTTCTACTTTATTTCAACAGTACAGCAAATGTTAATTTTTCAATTAAAACTGCCCATCCCACTTTAGTATACCATTGCATCTTCTAAGACTCTACCATTGCCTTTGACATTTTGCACATCCTTGTGTAAACTGTTGGGCAATGACAGATCTGTCACAGTTTGAACATGAAATACCCCCTATAGGCAGATGAGTAACATCAGGAAATCTATCAGTATACTTAGACTTTGTTCGGGGATTAAAAAGCTATCTGATGTGTAAAATCTGGGTTCTGGCCCAAGACTTTGGAGTATTATAGAAGTAAATCTAGCCCTCTGAGACAGTCTCAGGGCAGTATTGCAGAAGAAAGGCCTTAATCTGGGAGAAGGCACAGTAGGTGGATTAAAGACGCTGCATGGATAGTTCTATGTGATCAAGTAGTCACCTTTTATCAGATTTTGTTTAGTATCTGAGGTAGAATTTGAGGTTGGACTTGTTTGATTCCCTTTTGCCAAATCCTTTACACAATAGGCCTGGGAAGGGGCATAAGTTCAAAGAAAGAGACCATATAGCTTTCAACTCTACAATTCAATTATGGGACAGATACAAACAAATCAACCAGCATTCCCATAGAATATAACTTTCTCAATACTTGAGATAAAATAGACAAATGGACAGTAGAAATATCTGGCAAGCATCATTCTCTTCTGTCTTCTGTCAAAAGCGATTGATTTAGATAAATTGCAGACTCTCTAGAGAGGCGCATCCTGAAAACAGCTGCTTGACAATTCGACCTCTTCCAAAATGTCTAGTTCCATCTGACTTCACCTTCCCCCCACCATCATGTGAATGCTCATGCCCACAGTGTCGAAGCCATGCCCAACACCCACTTTCTTCTGATCCGAGACCTTCACTCCCTTGAAAGACTTCCAAGTAGATTTTCTGGTAGTCAGCAGTGTCTCCTAAATACCAAAAATCAAACTTGCCAGTGAGGCTACAGCCAACTTCCAAGCTTCTCTGAGGTTTCTTTAGTATTCAGAGTCAATGAGGGAACTTCTGTGCCCTCCCCTCCACCCAATTTCTCCCATCACTTAATTCCTCCCCTCCACCCAAGCCAACTCCAGGGAGAAGTGCTCACTATACTCACTCTAAATCACCCATTCAAATACCCATTACTATCCACAACTTCCACCCTCCACCCTCTCCTAGTATCTTATGAAAACCTCTAACTCAGAAAGGCAAATTAAGAGTCAGGACAACTAGATTCCATTTAAACACTTTATTAGTATTCATGGACACCAGGAGAGCCTCCTCTACTATTAGCCTTCATGGTCCTAGCTGAGTCTGTGAGGCTTCCCACCCTTGGGCTCTGTCCCCCATTCTTTAGCCATTCCTTCTGGGTCCAGGCATCTCATCAAACAGAGAGAAAGGCGAGTTCTTGAAGGCATGAGAGGGTTCACGTTGGTTGTTTCCTTGCCTCTCTCCATCTTGTGGGATATCTTGCTGGTTGTTGATGTTGGCTTCGGAGCCCACCACCTCCAGGATATAGTCGGTAAGGTAATCAAGCATGGCGAAGAGGAAATCTGAAGTGGTGGAACCTAGGCAGGGGGTATATTGCTCCTCCTGCAGTAGGCGGTACACGTAGTTCACAGGAACCTCTACCTCAGGCTTAGGAGAAGGATCTTCCATCTTGTTGTCGCTGCAAGACTTTTCTTCTTGGTTCTTCTTCCCTGACATGATGGTTTGATGGACTGGGCTCCGGTGAGCTCTGCTTGGTTCACCAGCAGGACCGGTTCTCTGAAGACAATGTTCAACCCTGCCCACTGCATCCCCAAGTTAGTCAGGAGCTGCCTTTATGACATCTTAGGCTTTGAGATGTCACTAGTGCCCACTAGGCACCAATGAGTTCAAACTAGGCCTCAGCCTAGAAATATCTGTCATAACAATCTGGCCTCCCTACCGTGATTTTGAGAGACATTTAACTCCCCTCAATTACACTCGAATTAACAACATTGTAGAAATAATGTGTTTTAGTTGAAAATTGTCTGTCTATTAACCTTTCATTAATTACAGGGCACTGATAAACATGTCAAATATACTTTCCTGGTAGAGGTCTGACGGACCTCCTCATATAGTATAGAGAGTCATTTTGATTCAATTTACTTATTTAAGTAGGCTTGCTTAAAATTCCAGTACACTATTTGTATTCTCCTTTGAACATGTTCATTCCATATCCACATGAGATTTTCCAATTTGAAAAACATATATTTTTGGAAGAGGACATGCTCAGAATTCTCACTGACTCTGTAGCTTGAGATGCCACCCTTCCTCCCCTAGTACTTTCCTGAAACAGATTTATTCTTCAATACCATCTCTATCTTTTTCCCTTACGTTATGTCCCCACTATTTCCTCCACCTACTTCCTTGTTTAGCTTTGGACTGCTCTTCCTAGGAGGTTTGTTCTGGCTCCTCTCCTTTTCCTGAATCCTGTTGCCTGGGATCTTCTTCAGTTCTCTCTCTCCTTTCCCTGGGGTTCTTGCCACTAGGATGCCACTCTCTTCCCTGTTTTGAGTTTCAGTTCCCTTTCCTTCACTCTAAAGCCCTCAAGTTCATTCTTGTATCTCCTTCTTGTATGATTCTGATCATTTGGTGGGCTCTCTGTTGGTATCTGCCTCCTCTGTTGCTTCTCTTGTCTCACCTGCCTCAGAAGAGCCCATAACTGTTTGTTCTCTCTAAAGTCATAGTATCCAGTGCTAATGATTTTCAACCCCTTTCTTGTTTGCTGTTCTCTTCTGTAGATACTACTCTCTTTCATAGCTACGGTAACCCCAGAAGAGCACCTGGGGTGCCAGTTCCTCAAAAGCAGCTCTCTGAGAGACACTATTGGTCTCTCTGTCTGGGCACACTCCCTGCTTGTATCCCTGCCTACTTTCCAACCTGCTTTCTGTCTTTCTGGTCAAAGATGTCCTGGCGCCACAGGCTTTTCCTGGTCTCCCCTTCTCTTGACATGAGCACAAACAGAAAAACAAATAATGGACATACTCTCATTCACAATAGCTTCAAATATAACAAAATAACTAGGAATAAGTCTAACCAAGGGAGTGAAGGACATCTATAATGAAAACTGTAAAGCTCTTAAAAGAGAGAAAGGTACTAGAAAATGGAAAAACATCCCAAGCTCATGTAACGATGAATTAATAGTATGAAACTTGCCATTTTACCAAAGGCTGTTTACAGATTCACTGCAATCTCAATCAGCATCTTCAACAAATGATGTTGGATAAACTGGATGTCCACATGCAGAAGACTGGGATTACACTAATACCTATCACCCTGCACAAAAACTAACTCCAAAAAGATCAAAGACTTTTCAGTAGAGACTCTGAAACCAAGAAGGGTCTGGATGGATATTCTACAAGCTTTGAGAGGCCACAGATGCCAGTCCAGATTACTCTTCACAGTGAAACTATCAATCACAAGTAACAGTGAGAGAAAAAAATCGTGATAAAAACCAATTTAAACAGCTCTTGGACAGAAGCTCTACAGAAGACACTAGGAAGAAAACTTCAGTATTAAAGAAAGTTAATGACACCCAAGAGGACACAAGAAATAAATAATACCAGAATAATACTTCAAAAGGAAAATAGCCCATCCCAAAAGCAAATAACAGAAATTAATAAATACTGCTCAATAATTCTCAATATTAGTGGTTTCAATTCTTAAATGAAAGGATATAGACTAACAGATATTATTAGAAAATGGGATCTATCCTTCCTCTGCCTCCATGAAACAAACCTTACAATCAAGGACAGATATCATCTTGGAATAAAAGGCTGTAAAAATATATTCAAAGCAGATGGACAAAGAATCAAGCAGGTGTAGTATGCTGGCTAGTTTTCGGTCAACTTGATACAAGCTATAGTCATCTGAAAAGAGGGAGCTTCTATTGAGAAAATACTTCCAGAAGATATGGCTGTAAGCATATGAACCTGTAGGACAAGTTCTTATTAGTTATTGGTGAGAGTGGACCCAGTCATTGTGGGTAGTGTCATCCTTCGGCTCATAGTCCTGGTTCTATAAGAACGCAGGCTGAAAAAACTATGAGAAGCAAGCAATTAAGCAGCATTCTTCTATAGCATCAGCTCCTGCCTCCTGGTCCCTGCCTTGTTTAAGTTTCTGTCCTGACTTCCTTCAGTGGTGAACAGTCATGTGGAAGGTAGAAGCCAAATAAACTTTTTCTCCCTGCCTTGCTCTTGGTCACGGTGTTTCAACATAACAATAGTATTTTAATTTTGAAAAACCAAACTTCAAAGCAAAACTAATCAGAAGAGATAGAAAATCAGACAAATTAAGGAAAAAATATACTAAGACGATATTGTGATTCTAAATATTTTTGCACAAAACACAAGGGCACCCAAGTTTCTACATAAACACTAGTACAGATATTACACTGACCCTCATACTGTGATAGTGGATGGCTTCAATTTCTCACTCTTGCCAGTAGATAGACCATCCAAACAAAAACTAAACTGGGAAACACAGAAATAAATAACATCATAAATCAAATGGACCTAGCAGAGGCGTAGGATATCTGCCCGAGACTAAATTTAAAAAGTACTAACTAATTTCTTTTTCAGAAATATCAAGATACCTTAATAGTAATTGCTATTATTCATGCCTATAACAGAAATAAATGGCAAATGGGACAAAAAGAAATATAAAATGTACAGTTTGAAGAGAAAAAAAAACAAGAAAGTCAATGTTGAAGTCACTGCTTGTGTGGAAATAGATAAGAGGTTGAGGGGAAGCTAATTAGCAATTGAATAAAGTGAAGGAAGGGTATCCTCAGGGTAGGACCCCACACCAAGCTAAGATGCCATCTTGTGGAAGTAAATGACCTATGGAACTCTCTGCTCCTAAAAACTGACAAGTGAAAGCTGCTGCAAATGTGTTTACAGGGGGTCAGGCTCCGTATCATGTGGTCATCAGTACTTGGTAGCTTTATCCACGTTATTCTGGCTTTAGAGGAATGAAGGATACATGAGTAAAGGGGTTGTGGAATCTTCCTTTTGGTCATGGAGAGGCTTTGAGGCCAGGCAATGTGTTACAGGGCAGTCACTGCATGAAGGCTTTGAGAGGGCAAGAGGTCCCAAGGAGCCAATGTATGACGCTGTGAAAGGGAAGCCTTGATTTTGTTGGGGGCATCATGCTGGGCATGCTAGAGGCATGGGATATCTGCCAAGGATAGCTTTACACAGTGAATGGAACCAGCCCAACACAGAGCTGTGTCTTGCCCCCATGGTAATGGACTGCTATCCTTGTGAAACTATAAACTCAACGTAAATAGTTCCTTGTAATATGTTACCTTGGTTTTATTACATCAATAAAAACTAATTAATTCAGAAGTCCATCTTGTCCATTCCTATCAATATAGTACTTGAGGTCTTAACTAGAGCAGTAGGACAACTGAAGGAGCTCAAAGGGGTGCAAACAAAAAAGGGAAAGTCAAAGTATCCTTATTTGCAGATGATATGATTTTATACATAAAAGATTCTAAAGACATACCAAGAAATGTAGTGGCATTTCATTTGTATTTTAATAAATACAGCTTGCTTGAGGATCACAGAAGTAAAACAGCCACACTAGCCAGCCTTACGGACCAGGCAGCAATAACACACACCTTTAATCCCAGTAGTCATAGTAGCTTGCCATAGAAACTAGGTGGCAATGGTGTACGCCTTTAATCCCAGAACTAGAGAGAATTATAAAATGGGAGGAGACAGTTCTTAGTCTCAATTTCATTCTGAGATTCCTGGAGGCAGGTTTGCCATTTCAGACTCTGATCGAGGTAAAAGACAGCAGCTGGTTGCTTTGCTTTTCTGGTCTTCAGGTTGAACCCCAGTTTTTTTTCTCTGAGCTTTCATTAATTATGCTTCAAGGAACTTCTACAGCTGATGAAAACTCTCAGCAAAGTAGCAGGATACAAAATTAACACCCCCCCCAAAAAAAAACAAGTAGCCTTCCTATATACAAATGACAAACAGACTGAGAAAGAAATTCAGGAAGCAATACCTTTCATAATAGCCTCAAAAATATCCTGGGGTAGCACTAATCAAGCAAATGAAAGACTTACATGATTAAAAACTTTGATTAAAAATTAAAAAAGATCCTAGAAGATGGAAAGATCTGTTATGATTATGGAGCATATGAAAATGGCCATCCAACCAAAATAATCTACAGATTCAATGCAGTCCCCATAAAATTTCACAGAAATTGAATAAAAATCACAATTTCCAACTTCATATAGAAACAAAAAGCCCAAGATAGCTAAGACAATCCTGAATAATAAAAGAACTGGTAGAGGTATCACCATCTCAGATTTCAAATTATACTATAGAACTATAGTAATAAAACAGCATGACATTGGCATAAAAGCAGACATGTTGATCAATGGAATTGATTTAAAGACCCAGACATAAGTCCACTCACCTATAGACACCTAAAGTTTGAAAGAAGCTAAAAGTGTACACTGTAGAAAAGACAGCATCTTCAACAAATAGTTCTGGTTTGAGGAAAGATATATAGAAGAGTGAAAGTAAACCCAGATCTATTGTCCTGGACAAAACTCAACTCCAGATAGACCAAGTACTTTGACATAAGATCAGACATCCTGAATCTGACAGAAGGGAAAGTAGAAAATAATCTTGAACTCACTGGATACAGAAAAAGTCTTTCTGCACAAGACACCAAGCACAGGCACAGAAATCAACAATTAAAGAAACCTCATTAAACTGAAAAGTTTCTCTATGGTAAGGGACACCATAATTCAGACAAAGGGGCAGC